TATCTTCAATAATGAGACCGGAATCAGTGCAATTGCTGTCATTATATGCATCAACAGTGTCATACACAGAAGTGTTTTTTTGCTGTATTCTAAACACAGCATTGAAAAGATGCTTCTTTTCTGTACGCTTTCTATTAACTAACCCTCCATAGGGCACCCACTGAGGTGGCAAGCAATCACAATACTTATCATTACATGTCTTCAGCCATATAGAGGGCAATGTCTTGTTGTAGTAGTGGAATATCATCATTACAATTGCAGGTCCACCATAAGGAAAGTCTCTATTTTCATAGTGTGCTACGTGCCAAACCAGAGTGTCATTCTCGATTGTATCATTACTGCTGAGTTCGTGCCATAGTGTTGGTTCTTCTTTGCTCTTGTAATCATGAGGTGAGTGAACAAAAACCAGTGTCGGTTCTTCCTTGCTCTTGCAATGAGGTGAGTGGACAACAGAAACCTCTTGCCTACCCGAGAGGTAAAATATGGTGATAGAGACAACAGCTGTAGTGATTAAGGAGAGAAAGAGACCGCAATACTTCAAGTTGCATGCCAATATTTGCTGCATCTTGAATTAGTCTTGTTCTCAATGGAGGTATGATGGAGGCGAGGAATATTCGAGGGGTTCGCAACGGGAGGAAAATCTCTGCGAGATTACAAAAATTACTAGAAATATGATTGATTACTGAATCAGTTACCAGGAGAAATGGATTAATCACAAGGCTAATTATCACGAGTTTTCGTGCGCGGATTTTTTTCATCGTATAATAATTAATATTCATAGTAGGTGTGGTGAATTTGGTTTTGCCATCCAGTGCAGTGTGGGCGCTCATGCTCGCCCCCTCAATGCTTACATTTAGCTAGTTATTTTTAAAAGAATGAAAACTTAAAATAATAACTACAAAATTAATAGTTCAGACTTCGCATTAAATAATAATAAGGACATTATTAGTGTGTGTGATAAAGATACATAATAGTAAGTACTCTGTATAATTTACTAATGAGTGAGAGTAGAGAAGAGACATTGAAAGAGAGAGAGAGAAAGTCATAGCATCTGACAGCAATAACAACAAATAATTTAATAATATTACGGTACACATATAAGAAAGTGAAAAATTAAGAACAGATCTTTTCTTTTCCGTTCTCTAAAATAAAGACTAAAACTAAGACTTTTGCTTGATGGCAATGAGGGATTCCTGAGCAAAATATGTCACATCGATATCGGAATCCTTGGTAGCTAAATCTTGAATGCAGGGAGAGATATCATTCTGAACAATACTGAAAAGAAAAAAAGGAGAATGAACTGAGAAGATATACATAATATGTGCACTTACTTTGCTGGTATATTGTGAGCCAGTTTTGTTAGTGTTTTTGCTACATTGAATCTTACATTGGGGACAGGGTCATTAGAAAGTCCAAGTACTACGGGCAGCATTGTCTCAACAATAACATCCTCCGAACATACTTCACTCAACAACTACAAAAAAGAGAATTAAAAAAAAGCCATTAAATTAGACATTCGACAAGTCAGACCAACTTACATTAACAGTGAAAAGTGTTGTCATTCTGTGAAGGTAATTGGAGTCTTTGGCCATAGAGAGCACCTTTGGCAGTATGGCCACACGTGCCCACTCTGAACCGAACTTTTCAACAAGATTACGCAAATTAACAGAAGCAGCTTCTCTAATAGCATACACTAAGGAAGAAAAAAAAGAGTTAAAATAGCTTTTCTCCTCCACCTTTCTTACCATTATCAATGAGCCATTGCATGCAGAGCTGGTTCAATTTCTCTTCAAAGACGGTCACCCCCAACTGCTCTGCCAGCAATGGCATGTACTCGATGATTGCTAGCCTCACTCTCCATTTTGAGTCTTCAGCCAACTCAACAATAGCAGGCAAGAGAGACTGGGACAACTGACTGATACCAATTACTATATCGGAAAGGGTGGGGTAATGGGTGTGGTCAAGTATACTGGTGGGCGTGTACCTTTATTGACGGAATCTAGACTGGATATGATGTTAAGCCTAACGTCTGGACACTATAAGGAAGGAAAGATAATAATGAGACTAAATGAAATTCATTTTTCTCACCTCATCCTTTAATTGTGTTAAAAACAATGGCAATAAGTGCTCAATGGTGCTAAAAAGGGAAAGAAAATGTTATGTCTCTACATCTAAATGGTATCTCTTACTTTTCCTTCCCAACCAGAGGAGAAAGGCCCATTATAACTGAAGCAAGTGCTGTTTTAACATGCTGATTTACATCATTTACTAATTGCTAAAATAATAATAAAAATAAGATAATAATAAAAATACTCTTTACTTGTATACAGGGCATAATTTGTGTAAGTATCGAATCGACTCTATAATCTTCACCCAAATGTTCACAAAAATCTAAAGATAAGAAAGACACATAACATGTACATGTACACACGCATGGCACTCGGTACCTTTTAGTCTAGTACAAGCAGCAGCTCTTACTTCTGCCTCAGCGTCTTTAAGCAGACCGGCAAAGGCATGAACTAAATTAGTTTTTGTGATGTCAGGTCCCACAGCAACCTGAAGCTATTGAAAAAAAAAACATAAAAAGGAAGAGGATAAATTTCCGTCTCTAACCTCCGTGAATTTGTCAGCCATCATGTACCTAACTCTCCATGATTTGTCCTATTAATGACAGTATGGTCAAATGACCGGGAGGAATTGTCTTACCTTAGCTGCGTTATTAAGTGTACCAACCACTGCCAGCTCAATGTCTTCCTTTGACAAAAGAGAGGCTATGGAGGAACATGCTTCTATTGCTAATAATCTAACGGAATCCTAAAATACAACACAATTTAGCACCGCTCTCTCTCTCTTTTTTGTCTCTTACTTGATCATCAGCTGCTAGGTGATGAAATAAAGACATCATGTCCCGCTTTACATTTTCAGGTTCAACTACTTTAGCAAATTCCTTTTTTAAAGATGAAAGGGATATAAAAAGAGATTAAAGAGACCAGTACAAGTTTGAAACATACCCCTAGCTTTCCAGCAGCTGCTCTTCGAACCATGGGAGTATCGTCGGTACACAGTGTGCGGAATAATCTAAGATATCAATATCAGTATCAATATCAGTGTTAAGATCAACTCACGTTCTCAGTTCATCTTTCGTGTTATTACTGGTAAGAGAATAAGCCACCGAAAAAAGACCGCAAGCCGATGTACGCGAAGTAAACCATTCACCTACAACCAAAGAACTAAGGCCCCACCTCTGACTTACCCACTTACCTGACGCAAGTCGTTTGATCATTGGAATGAAGAACTCCTCAATCTGTTTGCCGGAGAGCTTACTGGCTACAGCTCTGAGGGACTCCACCGCTTTATCACGGACAACAGTCTCCTCTACTGTAGCCAAACTCTCAAGAGGTGGCTAAAGAAAAAAGAAAACAAAGTGACAATAATAATAATAACAATAATAATAAGATTAGTTCAAATCCCTTACCAATAATGTGTGTGCGTGGTCGGGCCCGCCCACCAGCACAATAAAATCAGCATCTCCTAACTTTAAAAAAATTGTTAAAAACCACAATCCTCAAAAAAATAAAATGCTTACTTGTTCCGCTAAAGCCCAGAGAACCTCGTCATCATCATCCAAAGTATCTAAGAAATGATACAAGTCGCATCAGTACATGTACATGTATATTATCGGATGGTTACCGGTGAGGAATGGGAGGAGTTCACTACGAGTTCTCTCGTCTCCAAGGGCCAGTGCAATGGTAGAGAGCTTCTTGATGGAATTGAGCCTCAACTGAAAATGAAGAAAAGGTAGTTTAGTACAATTAGTGATTTGGGGAGTGGTTTTAAACAGAGAGGTCCAGTAGAGGGTTCTAGCTGGTTCTTATCAAGTCAAGCTAGTGTCTTACTTGTACGTCATCATTCCTAAGCTCATCTATAAGGACAGCAATGGGGTAAATGGAGTTGTCTCCCTCTGCAGCCATTTCACTGTTTCTCTAAATTCTCTTCCTTTTTCTGGTTGCTGCACTGAGCATGCGCAGAGTCTCCCCGCAGACCAATAATGGAGGGAAAACGGAGGGAGAACGGAGGGAGAACGGAGGAAGAACGGTGACCAGTCTCTGATCGTTACTGCGCATGCCCAGCACTCGTGGGCGGTAGGCGTGGTCGAACCCAAAAATATGGAGTTGGGTCGAGGAGGAGATGGTGGAAGAGGAGGCCCAGTAATGCTGGCTACCAGAGGAGGAGGAGGCGGTGGAGGGGGAGACAGAGGGGACAGGGGGAGGCAAAGACCTAACACAAGACGCCGTGGTCCTACTGGAGACTCTAGGCCACGCCCTCAGTACAACAATAGACCAAGGGTAAGATCAATGTTCGTGTACATATGTACATTAGGGCCTTCTTTATGTAGGGAGATTATACAGTTCAAGGTCCAATGAGGATATTAACAAAACCCAATGATAGAGTTAGTTTTAGTTGGGATATAATTCTACTGATGTACATGTAGATGAATTTGTACATCTACTGATGTACAAATTATACGTTTTGTGTGTGTACATTAGCGCAATCCTCCGATCATTCTTTTCTTGTTTTTCTTTTACAGCATCCAGTTATGCCTGGATCAGTTTCCATAATGCAGAGGTGAGCTACTAATTAGAGAGTGTGAGAATCTATTCTCATTCCTTGGCAGTGAAGACTTGTTGCTACATAATGTCGTCATGCATGCACTTTATCCATCATCATTATCACTATTATTATTAGTATTGTCAATAATTTTAAGTATTACCAATGGAATGGTATTGGAATTCTTTCTCACTTTCAAGTCCTAATCTATTTCCCTTGTCCCTCCTCCTCTCATTCCTTTCCTCAGAGACTCCTCGTCAACAGGAGGGAGCGAGACTCCAAGTTCTCCTCACATACAAAGTCCCGAACTGAACCCGCCCCCCGGGGGTATTATCCAGCCGCCTTCCGGTCATCCGTCTCATTTTTCTTCTACAAATCATTTTGGGTCCTCAATGAATCATGAAGGAGGAGGTGGGATCAAGAAGCCGATGTCTAGAAGGCCGCCTGACGGAGTCAGCAGTAGTCCCAGTAACTATACACCATTGCAACCTTCGGGGAGACCAGGAAGGCTGTGAGTAATCCTTAAAATAATAATAATAATAATAATAATAATAATAATGATAATAATAATAATAATAATAATGATAATAATAATAATAATAATAATAATGATAATAATATTGCAGTATCAGTATTATAGAAAGTTAAATATTGTGTACATGGAAAAAGGGAGAGAGAGAGAAGTTAATGCTGTGTACATGTACATGTACATGTATATAATTACATATGAAGTGTTTTGTATACAGATATGCTTTCATTATTAGACTCAATGATAGTTGTCCTCTTTTTGGATATGTACATGTAGGAGTGATTGATTGTGTGTGGTATAGTATAACATATCCTTTGATGATATGTCTCCATTCTTTTCTTAAAAATATCACATCAATACGTAACTATAGTGACTTAATTGTACTGTAATTAGTTCTTCTATGCTCATTTTGATAACATAATCATTCAATTACCATTTTTTATTCAATTTTCTAGTGACAGGGATGCTGTTGGTGGTATGGGCACTGGTTTTAACAGAGTTGAGTCCGCAGGGTTTCTTAGCACAGTACCCAACGACACAGTGACTGTCAAACTAGCTGATAAGTCTTTATGCTGGGAGGACAGAGGCTCTGAGGTAAGAGAGAGAGAGGAAGGGTGGGGATAGGGGGAGTAGTAGAGGACTGTATTATGTATTTTTTGTGTATGATAACAATGAAATGGGTGGTTTGATCTTTATTTTATTTGTCGTGACCATTTTGTATAAACACCTGTCTCTCCTCCTCACTCACTCTTTCTTCCTCTCTTTCTCTCCCCCTCTCTTTCTCTCTCTCAGTATTTAATGGATCAATCAGATTTCCTAGTGGTTGGTTCCCTAGGTAGACAAGGAGTTGGTAAGTCCACCATTATGTCAATGCTCGCTGGAACTAGGACTGGATCAGGAAGGTGAGCACATCTTGATTCACCTTTGTTTTATTTTTATTATTATATTATTGTAGACCTTATCTTTTTAAAACACAACCTAAAGATGTACAGGTAAGAATGAAGAAAAGACAAAGACAGGAAGTGGACTGTTTTTTGTTTATTTTTGACACAGGAGAGTGGTGGATATACTACAGCTGGCATTGACATGGCTGTGACCAGCGAACGAATACTGTTATTGGACACACAGGTATTACTCTAATTAATGCACGCTTGATATTCCAATTAGAGCACACGTGAGTACTATAATGCTTGGAATGTACATTGACTGACCACAAAAGACAGATGTCAGTCAATGAATATTGTTATTGTTGATAGTGTCACCCCCACACGCTGTGTTTATGCGTCCATGTAAATATACTGTAGTAGGACAGTTTGTTTATTTGTAAATACATATGTGTCCATGTACATGTACACGATCAATTTAAATCTTTTCCCTTTATAACACACCCTTTCTTTCTTTCTCCAGCCTATACTCAGTAATGCTCTGCTTGAGGACCATAAGTCAGAGGGTATAGTCCCTGCTAGTCTCTCTCCTGATAGCTACTTGGACGTTCTTTCTCTCCAAATGGCCATTTTTCTTTTCACCGTCTGCCACGTTGTCATAATAACAATGGAGTCCGGCGACGTTGATGTCATATTTAGGTCAGTGGAAAGGAGAAGGATTGATGGATGAAAATTATATTATTATTATTTTTGTAGGTTTTTGTGGACTGCCGAGAAACTGAAGTCGACTTGTTGCAAGAGTCCTGATCAACAAGACATGAGGTTTGATTAATATTTATTTATTGAATTTTATTTTATTTTTATTAAAGTGATGGAGCCACTCCTGAATATTTTCCTCAACTTGGTAAGACACATACTATACGTGCATCTGTATTCATGTATTTATGCACATTTATTTATGTATCTTTTACCTCTAATATTCTTCAGTATTTGTTCTCAATCATGCTACTCCTGACGACTATCAACCAGCTGCTCTTAAAGAGCTCCACTCACTGCTGGCTGAGAATTTCTTTGGAGCTAAAGTCACCATCGCAGGTTAGCTAACCTGCCCCGCCCCCACTACTAATAACTAGTTAATATAACTAGGAGGCATGTCTCTAGCTCGCTCTGGTCTTGTACCGGTTGGTAAGTTGATTCCCCCCGAGCACAAGGACTGGAGTGGGACAGTAAAACCAGGAGCGCCTCAAGAGGAATGCAACATTAATCTTCATCTCTTGCCGACTAACATAAACCCTCAGGATAACTTTGGATCTCATTGTGTCAAGAGAACTGACAGAGAGGGTAAGATATTATAAGAGCCATTTCTCTTATATATATATAATTACACTGGCCAATGGAAGAGACGAAGGGGATAATGGTAGAGTGGATAATGGTAGACCAGGGTATGATATTTATATATGTAGTGGGCTCATGATTTTCCTAAATTGATATAATTATATGCATTAATTCATTTACGTTTACATTTGTACATGACTACATGTACAGTGTACTGATTCTTATATTCCTTTAGATGCTGGTCTTAATCCAATTCTGAGTCTCATTAGGCCCATGTATCAAGGTCATCCCAGTTTCCAGTTATTAGCCGAAACTCTCCGAAACCAAGTGAGAGATTACGGCCAGGATTATAGTATTAGTTTTTAACTATTTGTAATTAGATATTTATGATGCCACGCCCTTCACTCCGCCCATCTCATGGCTCTACGATAGCCCAACAGCCACAGCCGCCACAACCAATGTTTGAGAGAGACTGGTAAGCAAGATGGTGATACCTAATAATTAGAAACTCGACACTCCTCTTCTTTCTCTAGGTACGATTATGCTCGGAGGTCTCTGGCTGCCATTAAGAAATCAAATGTTGCCCACGAACACAAGAAGCTTTTGCGTGACTTGCAACTCCAGCAGCAAAGATAAGTCACGAAGTACACCAACCATTCAGAACTATTACTAACAACGAGAGAATAGGGAACAACTCTAATTAATTAAAGGAGGTGGAGCTTTTGAGGGGAAAGGAGGTAGGAAAGGGAAAAGATTGTTTCAGTGTGTGTTACTATAAATAGCTGGAGGTGTGAGGGGGTGGGGTCGCCCCGCCCCCTCCTTTAATCAATCAAATGCTCATATGCCTTTGTCTTTCTCTCTCTCCAATTTTTCTGATTAAAAATTATTTTCTACACACTATAAAACTTACTGGATGTATACATTATTGTTTTTTGTCTTTACAAAACGTGTTTATACATTATTATTATTATCATTGTTATTTTTAGTTTTGTTGGTTTGTTACACAGTGCAATTGTGTGATTTCTTTATCTCTGGTGTATTAAATAATCATTTAACAACTTTAATTTATATCATTATTATTTTTTCAACATATTCTTTACTACAAAAAAATTAATATAATAACCATTGGTGATTGCTAATAATGATATGACAATAAAGTTTTGCAGAAAGTAATAATTCTCTAAATGATTTAATGCCTTCTCCAATAAATGAGCAAAGCAGCTGCCAATACTGCTGCAGCCACGCCTACTCCCACCACACCCACTAAATGAAGTTATTAAAAAATTGACGGATAAAGAGTGTTTCCGTACCTTTTCGTTCTCTCTTCCACCTTCCATTGTTTTGAATTTCTTTCTCGTTTCCTTCCCAGTGCATGCAACGCTTTACAGCTTCCTTCCACCTGTAATATCTCGAGTCTCTGTCTGTAATTTATACAATTAATAATTATTTATTTATTTATTTATTTACTGTCGTGGTCTATTGATGGATTAAATAATGTGACAGCCATCGACTGAGGAATACTGTCAAGCTGGTTAGGCCACACCCCCACGCCAATGCCAGCTGCTATAGCTGCACCTAACACTGTGGTCTCAGACATATCCTCTTTCTCTGAAAAATATAATAATAATACAATTGTGTTTTAATTTGTTGTACATGTAGTATTTCCCACAGAATTTTGTTTTGTGTTTGAGCTGATTTCAATTGAAATTAAATTTTTAATGAATTTTCATAGTTGCTCTAAAATTGGACAAAAATCCCTGTACTATAGTACAGGGTCGTTGGGCAAATTTCACCAAAAATGACTTGGTGAGAATTCTGCATTTTTATAATTTTTCCTGATGCATATACATGTTCTTATGTTGTATATCAAGTTTGAGCTAATTCTGACTAAAATTGAATTTTTTATGAATTTTTAAAGTTGCTCCAAAATCGGGTAAAAGTCCCTGTACTATAGTACAGGGTCGTTGGCCAAATTTCACCAAAAATCACTTGGTGAGAATTCTGCATTTTTATAATTTTTCCTGATACATATACATGTTCTTATGTTGTATTTCAAGTTTGAGCTAATTCCAATCAAAATTGGATTTTTTACGAATACTTGAAGTTGCTCCAAACACCATGTACTACATTATAGTGCTTGTCAGATTATGAAGCATGCTCTGTAGTGCCTTTAGCATGCTTTATGGGAAGCTCTGATTCATTACTTACCCACTGGTATTCCCAGTAAATCAGCTTGCAATTGTAATAATAATTTATTCACTGTCATGCCCCCATCGACCTTAAGGGAAGCTAGTGGTAGCTCAGAATCCTGATTCATGGCCTCCAGTATCTAAAGGAAAATAATCTTATACTTATTACACATATAGTGTATTGTATTTATATACATTAGAAATATTTTTGGGACATCAATCTAATTAAAAATGGGATATCTAGGCTAAATATCAAAGACAAAGGCTAAAAATGGAAGATTTAAGGAGACCTAGACCAAATATGGGCTACATATCTTTTATTTTTAATTATCATTTTTAATTACTTCACGAGATTGAAAGCAAACTGCCTCGAGTGTTGCACGGCATATGTGACCTTTATTAGTATAACTGCTCAAACCGATTATCAACCTATTAAAATGGGAGGAGTCTAATCATGAAGACCACACCTACCACTCACTAACCCTCTGGCATCAGACTGCCAGTGAGGTGCATATAGACCAGAAAATGCCGGAACAAAATATACACCAGCTGTATCATGAACAGACTCTGCCAGCCTCTCTGTGATATACAATGAAATACATGTGTATATGATTTATTTATTACCAATTTCTTGTGCGTCAGTGAAAAACTTCATGTTATCTCTTAGCCACCTAACACACTGTCCGGCCATTGCTACAGAACCCTGAAGAAAAAGTTACAGAGTTTTTTAGTTTTTTTATTTATTTTAGTTACAGAGATCCTAACCTCTAAAGCATAATGGACATCTGCTTCTGATCCCATCTTATACGCAACTGTAGTTAGCAACCCATTGCTGGATCTCACTGGAACCTGTGTAATCATTGAATAATGCCAAAGGCTTAACTTATGACTGAGACTAACCAAGCCAGTATTGTAGAGTAAGAAGCACCCAGTACCGTAAGTGTTCTTAGCATCACCTTTCTTAAAGCATCTCTGACCTACCAGGGCAGCTTGCTGATCCCCCAAACACTGAAAGAGGAGAATAGTAAAGACACTGTAATTATATACATATATGTACTTACTCCGGAGATCGGTATTCCCTTTAATGGACCTTCAGACTGACAATAGAGATAATGATGGAACAATCACAATAACACAACAAGGGGAGGTATGTGAAATAACTCACTATATGCCCATACACTTCAGATGAGCTCCTTATCTCTGGCAATATAGACATGGGTATACCAAAAAAGCTACCAAGAACCATTCATTCACAGTATATCATTACTGCATGACTACTCCATTACCTGCATAACTCGGTGTCCCACTTACAGGTCTGTAGATCCATTAGCATCGTTCGACTAGCATTGGTGACGTCAGTCACGTGACAACCTCCTGATATGCCTCCGGTCAGATTCTAAGTCACACGGTAGTCACATGATGATTAATGTGTGTTGCATTGCGTACCCATATTATCCATGAGTCCACTGTACCAAAGAGACAAGTCTTGCCGGCGACAGCTATTCTTACTTCTTCAACGTTATCGATCAGCCACCGTATCTTTAGTGCACTGAAGTAGGGATGGATGGGCAAACCACACTTGGGCTGAAGAGAGAGAGAGAGGAATTTAAAAATTAAATACAACATTGTTCAGAATAAATCCAGATACATGTACATTATAGATCACACGTACTCTTAGATAATCCTTGTTATTATTAGGTGTTGAGGCTATCAGTGCATCTGCCAGCTGTCTTGTTCTATTATCGCTCCAAACTACAGTGTAGCACATAATAATTATTATTATAGATTTAGCACTAAAACCAACCAATAACTTTGCAAAATCACTGAATTTTTTATAAAAATGAAAATGTGAGAATTCTACATTTTATAATTTTTTTCCTGATGCATATACATGCTCTTATGTTGTAAACCAAGTTTGAGCTGATTCCAATCAAAATTAGATTTTTATAAACTTTTAAAGTTGCTCAAAAATCAGGACAAAGTCCCTTTATTATGTCTTTGACAAAATTTCGCCAAATATCACTTACTCCAAACTACATAATATTTATAATAATAATAATAAGATGCAAGCAGTACCCAGTACAATACTGACCTATTGCATTGTAAAATGGCACTCCTGTTAGCTTGTCCCATAATATGGTAGTCTCTCTTTGATTAGTAATCCCAACACCATGTATGGAAGAAATGGGCGTGCCCTCAAGACGGAGTGAGTCGGCCACACCTCCAATGCATAGTCTCACCGACTCTAATAGTTCAATGGGATCTTGTTCCAGCCACCTGGGGAGGGCGTGTGTGTGGAGAAAAAAATGTAATTAATATACAGTGGGTGGGAGGGGCTGGCTGCATAAATATAATCAATAATACATGTAAATAGAAACCCTCGATAAAAAGCACCTTAACAACAAAAATTGATTCATACAGTAAAGAAAAATAATGATAATGATGATGAATATCTCACCCTTCCTTTGGTGAATGCTGTCCTAGTTCTTTTCTATGTGCCTTTTCTTTTAAACTGAACTTTAGCTCTAGATTTTCATTGAAGATCTATCAAATGATTAAGTTGATAAAACGGGATGCTATCAATGTGTTGTATACTTACAAGGAACCTGGAGCTACCCGTCCCTACATCAATTGCTCCAACCAACCTAGGCTTACTATCTTCCATTTATGAAACGTGACTAATAACTAGCCACGCCTTATACATATTATGCATATCGCATGCTGACTGTGTGTTGGTGGCTCATTTAGCATTAGCTGTAACAGGTAGAATAGGCAATGACAGCTGCTTTGCATTTAAATTGCTATTGTATGTAATCAAAATTAAAAATATTTTTAAAGAAATTGAACTTAGCAAAACGTTAATAAGTGTCAAGGAAGTGTCATTGTTTGTTTGTCTCTTTAAAAATCTCTTGCTTCTTGAGTATCCCACCACTTGAGATTTCATCTTTGCTTCAACTTGAATCTAGCTACCAAAAAATAATATTAAGATTTGCTATGAGTATAATAGTTACTGTTAGTGCAGTCTTGTTATATTCTTCTTGTATGTAGTGCTCTTAGCATCACTAGCAGTAGTAGCCACTAGTGATCCCAGGCAGCGCCACGTGGAGGCGGCACTACATTGCTGCCCAACCTGTAATGATAGTTAACAATATATTAATACTAACTGAATGGACTCCAATCTTTAACAGGAACTTAATATTGAAGTCGTAACAAAGAAAGGTTAATACATGACACTATTGATACTATACTGTAAGATCTTTAATCTTTCACACAGGGACTTGGTGTTCCATTTGAAAAAATAGTCATCTTAACAAAGAAAGGTTAATACGTGACAATATTGATACTATACTGTAAGATCTTTAGTCTTTCACACAGGGACTTGGTGCTCCATTAAAAAAAATATTCATCTTAACAAAGAAAGGTTAATACATGACACCATTGATACTATACTGTAAGATCTTTAGTCTTTCACACAGGGACTTGGTGCTCCATTAAAAAAAATATTCATCTTAACAAAGAAAGGTTAATACATGACACCATTGATACTATACTGTAAGATCTTTAGTCTTTCACACAGGGACTTGGTGCTCCATTTTTAAAAAAAGGTTAATACATGACACCATTGATACTATACTTTAAGATCTTCAGTCTTTTAAACAGGAGCTTCGTGTTCATGAAAATATTTACCTTAACACTAGTAAGGTCTTTCAGGGACTTGATGATCCATTTAAAATGTATCTTGGCAAAGAAAGGTTAATACAATATGGTACCATATTGGAACGATACTTAAAATTTGATCTTTAGTCTTTAAAAATGATTCCATAATTACAAAAATCTAACAAAGAAAGGTTAATATATGGAAAACATTGACACTGTATCTGAAAATCTTCTCACGATAGTCTTTTAATGCCTAGTGAGAAATGTAAATACATCACTATGACAATATCGACACAAAACTTAATATTCTTTACATTGCAAGTCATTGTGTCACAATGACAGTATCTAGTAAGAAATATAACAATTAAGCTACATCATACATTATTGATACTTAGCTCTTTAAAAGTTTGATACCCTCTTTATGAGTCTTTAAAACAGTAGCTCCAATACCTATAGTAAGGACTGGAAAATTGATCAATGCATATTGTACATGTGCATGTTGAGAAAATACTTGAAAAGTGAGACATCCCACACAGACAATGTGGACAGGAGCTTGTTGACCAGTTGATACTACCAAAACTACTAGTGTTTCCTACATCATGAACCGTCAATGTAGTGCTCTTAGCATCACTAGCAGTAGTAGCCACTAGTGATCCCAGACAGCACCACGTGAAGGCGGCACTACATTGCTGCCCAAAAATTATAAAAACCTGGGGCCCCAAGTAAAAAAAATTAATAAATGATAATAAATAATAAATAATAATAAACAATAATAATAAAATAATAATAAATAATAAACAATAATAAATAATAAACAATAATAATAAATAATAATAAAATAATAATAAATAATAAACAACAATAAAAAATAATAAATAATAATAATAATAAAACCTATACCTACACTATATAACCTGTATCCTACAACTACCTGTTTCTTAAGTTCTATTATAACTATATACTTTCTATTTCTACTATACAATACCTATACTATAACCTAATGATAACTATACCTGCTTCCTAATTTCTACTACTATACCTACACTATACCTATAACTACCTTCTAATTTCTACACTATAACCTATATCCTAGGTATAACTACATGTTATCTATAATTTCTACTACTATACCTACACTATATAACCTGTATACCTAACACTACATGTTTCTACTACTACCTACACTATATAACCTGTACCCTTCTAATTTCTACTACTATACCTATGACCTTGTATTACACAATGATACCTACATGTACATGTATACCATATTAACCTTGCTATAAAAGTACATTCTTATCTTACAACACAATACCATTATATTTATACCTACATTAACTAGCAATACAATAATACAATAACAACTTGCTCCAAAATCTTAATGCTATACTCCAACACACACACCAGAGAACTTAGATCTCCCATGATTCGATCCAATTTGAACTTGTACAAGGACATCAAAGACTTCACGAACACATCAAAGACTTTAAAAACCAAAGACTTTACAAGGATTTGAAACCCACTACCTTTACAGCTCCTATGAATCAAATAAAAACAAGCTAACATGTTAATCTCCCAAATACACTCCTTACCTCCCTCTCCTCTCTCAATAACCAACTCATGATATAGTGATACTGCTGTTCATCAGCTCCTCCTCCTCTCTCTCTCTCCCTCCCTCTCTCTCTCTAAGATGCTCTTGTATTCAGGCTTTCTTTTTTGAATCCCCTACTAGCTGTCCCTCACTCTCTCTCTCTCACTCCCTCTCTCTCTCTAAGATGCTCTTGTATTCAGGCTTTCCTTTTTGAATCCCCTGCTAGCTGTCCCTCACTCTCTCCCTCCCTCCCTCTCTCTCTTAAAGGCTAATGTCTTCAATAGGCCCGAGGAGCTATAGCTAGAGGAAGGAAGCAACAAATATAATTATATTGAAGTACATGTACTATACTATTTAAGTAATTAAGTGTACATGTACCATTATTAGTTAATTACATGTACTTATTAATTAATTATAGTATTTAATTACATGTACTATTATTAATTATGAGTACAAGTACTAACTATTTAAGAGGAAAGGTAGTATTGGAGTATTAGAAATAAGAGGGGAATTAAGAAAAGAGGAATAAAGAAAAGATAGAAAAGGAGGAGGAGAAGGGAGAAGAATAGTTCGTGATTCAGTAGCTCCTTTTCTTGTAAGCACGAGCGGAGAATAAAGAACTGATTGTTAGAGCAGATCAACTGAAGAATTACTGAAGGAAATGATTGAAGTGTGAACCTGGTGAAGTAGACGGGTTGTAGAGCTACTGAATCAGTAATGATGGAGAATAGCTTGATTTATGAAGAGTGTTGTAGTGTAGAGCTGGTGATTCCTATAAGTAGACAGGTTGTATAGTTACTGGATGATACAGCTAGTGTTGCTCTTGTAGAAGCAGTCCAATTGTTCTTGATATGCTGGATGTGAAGTGAAGAACTAAATTGTTGTAAGATGATGAGCGATGCCTCCAAAAAAATTATCTTGAAAATATCAAAAGAAGTTGAAGTGTTCAGCCAAGCTTCCCCCTCCCTCTCCCTCTCTCTCAATAAATGATCACACAAATCTCTCAGTTGAACTCTCTATCTCTCCTCAAGCAGGAACAAAAAACTGATACAGTGGATTAAAGGCACTCCATTGACTGGTGATATAGTTTCGTGCAGATATTGTTAATAGGTTTAATCATTGTGGTTTTTAAATGAAAAGCTGAGTTTTAGTTACATGTACAATGCAAATACAGGCTCGTTACAAGTGCTTCAAATTAAAACATTTTAATGTCTAGTTGTTACAATACCCCCCTCTCTCTTTCTCTCTAAAAAAGGACTCTCTCTCCCTCAATCTAATAAGCAATGTCTTGCTAGACACTGCTGCTTATTAGATCAGTTGTACAACCAATGTGTACCATGCTTCCCTCCCTAATATTTAAAGGCTCATGTCTAAGTGAAACTAAATGGAGGATGCTCATCTGCTCCATTAATGCTCAATGCACAAAAATATTTCCAAGTTTTATATTAATCTTTACTTTCTACTTTGAATTTTGAGTCCTATACTTATCATGGTACAATGTATTAGGCTTTTAGTTTTTATAAGGCTAATCATTATTACAGTTATTTCTTAATATTAGAATTTTAGTCTGATCACAATACTCTCTCACTCTCTAAAGCCCAACATACACGGGGCAACATGTTGAATGCAACATTGAAGCAACATGTTGTATTCAACATGTTGCCTTGTGTATGATAGCAAATTTGTTGCATGCAACATCCAAGCAACATCCAAGCAATATGTTGCTTCAAGTTGAAAAATTTCAACTTTAAGCAACATGTTGCTTGAAACATCAAAGGTAACTAGGCAACACATAAGGAATGCAATAATAACTTCAGCCTTTTATTCATAATAATAATTACAATTATAAAAATAGCAAGCAACATGTTTCCCCTTTTGTTCAACAGTGTGCAACATGTTGAATGCAACATGTTGCTTGATGTTGCATTCAACATGTTGCCCCGTGTATGTTGGGCTTAAAAAGTATCTCATTCCCTCTAAAAAAGCATCTCATTCCCACTAAAAAAGCATCTCATTCCCTCTAAAAAAGCACCTCATTCCCTCTAAAAAAGCATCCCTTTCTCTCAAGAGAAGAAGTTGATCCAGTTGATTCCAAAGTGACTAGTGACGACTGTATCACTGTAGGGCCTAGTGCAGTCTTCATTTGTCTCCATAAATTGTATGTAATGATCTTTATGTCCTCTCAGCATAAGGACAATGAAAGACTGAAGATCATGATGAATGATACGTCCATTAAAGATTTGAGCTGGAGACTGAAGAAGTTGAAGTCTTCCAAATCCAATTGACTGGTGCTTTCACTCATTTCACTCATATATCTCTCATCACTCAAATCATTCAAAATTATGACTCACAACAAACATTGATTACTGTTAATGAAAGGCTTTGTTTTATAATTAATTTTTTTAGTTTCTATAGTAATTATTCACTCATATCACTCATCACTCAAATCACGCATACTGTATATGTAATTAACACTCACCACATACTACTGATTATTGTCAATTAAAGGCTCTGTTTTATAATTAATTTTAGTGTCTATAGTAATTGCTATTTTTTTATAGTTTTACGTGTACATTTGACTTTTGAGCAATCTTTCTAGTAATTACATGCAATGATATTATTTAATTGGAAGTATAATATTGGTAAGTAGAAATTGCTATTTTAGTAGGTGGTAAATAGTTTTACATGTACTCTTGATTTTTCATGTACCGTCTATCTGGAATTTTTTTACGACTTAAATTTTGCTACATTTAGAAATTTGACCAATGGAAAAATGAAATCAGGCAATGCACAATTTTTTGAGGCATAAAATCATTAAAGCATAAAATTCCAGATATCACAGTACTATAGTTATATTTTTAACAGCATGCAATGATATTTTAATTGTAAGTAGACATTTGTAGGTAGAAATGATGATAATCCACAAGCTATCATGTGATGTCAAGAATCATTCCCCCACAGAAAAGCAGTTGATACACAGGAACCAGATGACATTAATGCCAGTAGATTGAAGAATAGCCACACAATGAGTGGGAATAAACTGTGGCAAAACAGTTGCAAGTGTACAGTGACAGCCTTGTTAACCAAGAAAATAAATGTGACAGGAAGTGATCCAACGATGAAAGCAATGATTGAGAGTGAGTGAGAGTGAGGTGAGATAAACAGCAAATAGAGTGATGATACAGCTACCAGTAGAGAGATACACACCAACGAATGCTTCACAAACTATCAGAGTTGATCATCATCAGTGGGTCCAAGTTACTCAAGTTGATTGTTGACATCTCATCACTTGTAGGAATAATGAACAAATTAACATGAGCTGCTACAAGTTGAAGAATATCTCCTCCTCCTCCATGAATAGACATCACTTTGAAACTGCAAGTCTTCTGCCAAACTTTGATCTTTCTCTCTTTCTCTCAATCCTCAATGATAGCTATATGTTATTAAATTTTTTTTAGTTTAGTTTTTTACAAGTTTTACAGGTACTTTTAATCCTTCTACTGTCACTCCTCTCTCACTCAATTTGAGGAAAGGTAGAATTAGAGTATTAGAAATAAGAGGGGAATGAAGAAAAGAGGAATAAAGAATAGATAGAAAGAAAAGAGGAGGAGAGATAACTCTGACCCTGGGGTAATCCTGGAGTAGATCCTTAGTAGTTATACCAACCCAAAAGGGGAATGTATATTAATCAAGAATAATTATTAAATTGAAAATTAATTGTGCATCCTATATAAATTAACAATAGACACTCGCCACAAAGTGCAACACAGAATTGAGATTTCGCTAATATCGTGTCAACTTAACGCACATTGTCCAGACAAAGCAAGACTGGAGACCAGGAGATGTTACGAGCTTGCGCTACGTGATGACACGTACGGACGCAATACATAAATAAGTCCTACATCCCGGGAACATGTCTCCAGTAACATTTGGTAGTTTGACCTTGTGAGCAAGATGCAGCCAAGAATGGAAAGCTGGTCATTGCAATAGACACTATGGGGGATTGGGTACAAACCCTCCCCCCCACTAATGCGTTACTGCAATACCCAGCTTTCCATTCTTGACAGCATCTTGCTCACAACATCAACAAATATTACTAAACACACATTTCCTAGTGTCAGCTATACAACCATAATCAGGCCAGCTGGTAATAATGGGGAATGTATTTACACTACAGGGTTCTTTACATTACAACATACACGCGATGCTTCGTGTAACCGGCCCCTCCCTAATGGTATTATACGCATGCACATGGGGACATACATATAATGACATGCAAGGATTGTATGTGTGTGCTACTAGCAAGGTCTGGTTGGCCTGGCCAGCCCAGCTAGTGTTACAACTATTGACTTGCAGATTAATCGATGAGAATCCATACCAACAACTCCGTCACACACTTCCAGTCTGAGAGACATCCAATTTCAGGACTCCAACAAAAACTTGACGTAACTTGAGCTCCTAAAATGAAATAAAAGGCAAGTCAATGTAGGCAGTACAGAATACACAGAGTACACACAGTAAAGTACAATACACTATCAAAACAAGTAAACAAGACACAAATATCTACAATAACTACAAGATACATCAAAAGTTAAATCCTCACTTGTTTCCTCCTCATTTGTCAAGTCTTTTTTCGTAAGACCAGTCCACCCTATTGACTCCTTATGTGGGCTTGGCCTCAAAAAAGGCGGGAAAATCAAACGTCAGGTAAGTCCATGCCTGGGCGGTTGCTAACCTGTATAGGGGAAAATGAGTAAAAATAATAAAAAATTAAAAATAGCTAGAAAAAAGAGGAGAAAGAGAAAGGATGAGTAAAGAGAGGCTACTAACCACAGCAGGGGTAGCAGCCATTGAAGAAAGAGGTCAAAACCCCCTGTGACCTTTTAGAGAAGGCAGGAAATAAGTACCAACTGCTGTTAACCTGTAAAAAAAGTTAAAAATATAAAATAAAGAAATGGCTAAAGAAGAGAAGGAGAGAAAGGGAAAGGAAGGAGGCTGTGGCCATGACTAACCATAACAGCCATTGAAGAAAGAGGTCACAACCACCATAACTTTTTTTTAAGAGAAAAGAACCAACTGCTGTTAACCTGTAAATAAAAGAGAAATATAAATAAAGGAATGGCTGAAAGAGAGAGAAGAGAGAGAGGGGGAGATAGAAGAAGAGTGGCCATGACTAACTGTAGCAGCAGAGAGAGTCCTTCCTTTCCCGCTCAGAGAAACGTCAGAAATGAGTAAAAGAGGAAGGGCAGCTCTTTATATAGACACTAGTTTTTTTGGCGGGAAGAGCTTCGCAGATGAATCTGATTGGCCAGGCAAAGGTCACACACGTGGTCACCTGCTATTGCACCACTGACCTCAAGTATTGCGCAATCACTTGAAAAAGGAATTTTAAGGGTAGTGATGTGTAGTAATTTTTGTACAACTTTAAAAAATCATAAAAATTCAAATTTTGATGGGAATCCACTCGAACTTTCTACACAACACGAAAACATGTATTTGTATAGATTAGCACAAAATAAATAAACAATCAGCCTCAAGTTCAAATTTTAAAATTATTTTATTAACAAATGTATGCACACACAAATCGTACTTACCAAATGGAATGTACAAGCTCCTGATATTAAATGACTGTCTGATAGCCTTCTGAATATCACATGTACATGTACATTAAATATATGCCTTTACCCATTGTTATTTCACTGAATAAAATTTAATTCTCAAATCGGCCATAAAGACCATGGACTGTAGTACATGTACATGATGTGGTATTTCCGTGAAGAATGGTCAAGGGATAAATTAATTAATAAATAAAATAAAAAGTGATACTGCCAAATAAAATAATAAAATGTATATATTGCATACAGTGAATAGTCTTCAGTGATTTGAATAGGTCAGTCTCCTTACAGCTGGCAATATAGCACTGAGTGACTCCACTCCTACACTTACAATAATAATAGCAATCACGTTTTGAAGTGTTTCTAGCCTCACTTAGTATTCCTTGCAGGTCACAGGTCATTTTATGAAACACAGGAACAAACTTTGACGACAGAGCCAATGCATCCATCACCCTGAATAATAAACATAAACCAATAATAATAATAATAATAATAGTAATAATAATAACTAACTGTTCACTGCTTAAGTCTCCATACTCATCGCACAACTGAACATAAAAATTCTTTTCTTTGCATTCAATTGTTTTCTCTATCAGATACACTAACTGCTGCCATGGGCAACCGGGGCGATCTAAAGCAATTATATAATGTGGCATAAGTTTCATTTACTTTGGGCAAATAGCCAAAAATTATCCTGTAATATCAATTTGTAACCGAGTAACATGTACATGTACATGTAATTGCATAAAGACCCACTCATTAACGATGTTAGCTGTCTATAAGCTGTATGTGCCTCACTAAACTGCCGATAAATGTTCGTCATGGCAACATAGACCCCACCTAGCGACGGAACATCAAACAGTTGCTGAAAGTGACGTATCATTGATAAGACAATGCCCATTTGAGCTGCCTAAAGTGGGAGTGGCTGATACAGGATGCACGCTAACGTGTGTGTCTACTGACCTTCTCATTCTCAATGTGAAGGAGCCAGGATTGTAAAATATCCTTCAATTGCTTGCAAGACAATGGAGTCCTTTTGCTTCCTTTTCTCTTCCTCAAAGCTTTATGAGTCTCGGTACTTCTCAAGCCATTTCTATCACTCTCTATTGCCTCCAATAAATCATTGAATACAACTTGCAACTCCTGCAACATAGAAGAAAAAGGAAAGAGAAAAGAGAGAGGAAAAAAGTCAAAATAAAAATTAGTTAAGACTTAAGAGTCAATATATATGTATTAATACGCATACTTTTAATTCATCAATTTCATCCCTCCAGTGTTTTATTTCTTTTGAAGCATTTGCCCACAAAGAAGGACAGAAAAGATTAGAATGAGATGAGGAATCAACTGCTGATGATATTGCATGAAGATACTAAGAGAGGAATAGCATAAGTGCAGTACATATCTTATAAACATGATTCATGATACTAACAGGATCAATGTCTTTATACTTCTCAACTTCCCTTTGAAGTGATAAGAGTGTAGGAATAATATCAATTAGTTTATCAACTTTTAAAACAGCACCAATATCCTGTAATAGCAATTATACAATACATTTATGTCACCAAGTTATAATAGCTATTATAATGTACATATAGTACAAATGTATTGACTACCTTTAAGTGTTCAATGGCATTACGGACATCAACCTCATCAAATTTAGTACAAGATCTAGTAAAAAATACATAAAACTGTGGTCCCAACCTCGCTTAGTCTCACCTGTACTGCTTTATTTCAGCCTCAAGGTCACTCACTCTTTGCTGACATGCTTTAAGCTCAGCTGCATGAGGCCTAAAAATAAAATAAAATTTTTGTATTTTAATAAATTTTAATAAATTTATTATTATTATACCTGTTCATTACGTCTATTTTAAGCTTAGCGTTATGATATTGCAATTCAGTGACTAATTTCTTGAGGGACTCATTCTCTGAAGAGGGCGTGGTTTTGTTTAGGGCATCGTCAGTAGAAGGTGGGGTCTCCTCCGAAGACGACATAAAATGATTAATTATCATGTCCTTTCTATTCAGATCCTCCAGTAGAAGATTAAGAGTGTGATATATGACGCTTGAGCCAGTTTCATCTGTTGATATTAGACCTATGGTTATAAGTAAATATAATGCTAACGGCATACATGTAAGTAGTACTACATATATGAAAAATGTAATGAATTCTCTTAAAGCCATTTTTGATGACTTAAAAATTCATAAAAAATTCAAATTTAATCAGAATCAGTTAAAACTTGAAAAATAACATAAAAACATGTATATCTATCAGAAAAAAAAATTATAAAAATGGAAAATTCCTTTCTAGCCATTTTGACAAAAATTGGCAAATGACCAAAGGCTATAGCCTTTGGTCAAATTTTGGAGTAACTTTAAAAATTTGTAAAAATCTAATCTTGATTAGAATAAGCTCAAACTAGAAAAATAACATAAAAACATGTATCAGAAAAAAATATTAAAATAAAGAATTCTCTTGGAGTAATTTTGACAAAATTTTTAAATTTTGGAGTAACTTTAAAAATTGAAAAAAAATCCAAGTTTGATTGGAACCAGTTAAAACATCAGTTCAAATTAGCCCTATGCTTTACCTTCCTCATCTGTTGCCAAGGGAGGATAGCCTTGCTTGATTAACAGCTTATTAACTGCATTCCATTTCTCTCCCCATTTCTGTACACTGTCCGAGTGCTCTTCGTCCTTCCTTGGTGTCCTGCTCTTCCTCTAAAACAAAACATTAAAATTAAAAAGAATCCTTTCAACTCTTTGTACCTTTGCTTTGGCTGAGAGAGGAGCGGAGAGAGAGGGCGAGAGATGCGACATCAAAAGGTTGCAGCTGTCGGTGGACATGTTTATTTTTCTGCAGCTCATTGGGCGTGGCTAAAACTACAACATGCCACGCCTTCTTTTCATTTCTCATCAATTTTAATGAAATTTTTTTTAAAAAGAATTTGAAACACACAGAGAGTCAAGAGGGGCAGATTTCACTTTTTAAATCACACATGTACATGTACAAAAGAAATAATGATAATAATAATAACTTTACATGTACACACGTAAAGAACAGAGATGACGATAAAAATTTATACCTGTCAATAAAACAATTCAACAACAACAACAACAACAACAATGACAATTTTAATGATAATAATAATAATAATAATAGTACAATCTCCTAAGGGTATTTGGTTAACTAGGCATGTACTTTCCTTCGTTAGGGATATAAGAGAATCCAGCAAAAGTCTCATCTTGAACGCTAATGCTCATTCCAGCGCTTGTCGACTTGGGAGGAGAAGGATTATCTGATATAGCCTCGTTAGTGAACTCTTGATCAAAGTGACGCAAATCAAGATCACCTGAAGCAAGAGGAAAACAAAGAAAGAACAAAACAAGTCAATTACACATGCTACATGAATATCATCATTATTATCACTAACACATACAATGTACATGTATTAAAAATACATTATCATTATTATATAATATTTTATACATTATTACTATTACTAATGCAATACCTGATACGTTAGGATTGAATGGTGGTTCTAATTTCTTAAGAAAAAGATCGTCCCAGTTTATACTACGGAAGAACAAATGATCCATGATATCCTTATAGTCCCTAACACCAGAGCCGAGTCTGTGGTTCTTGTCTTTCTGTAAGAGTCCCTCCAGGAGTGAGCGACCAGCTGGAGTGATGTTAGGACGAAGACGAAGAGGCTTATGTAGTATACCATCATACATTTCAGCAACATCACGACTAAAGGGAGAATAATATAATAACACAATAGGCAACTAATCAGCACAATTAGTACTAATTACATATGTACATGTATGTGCATCGGTAATTTATTAATTACCTGTAAAATGGTGGGAGCCCGTACATCATTTCGTAAGTGACCACACCCAAACACCACCAGTCGACCGGTCGACCGTAGTCCTGCTTCCGGAGGACCTCGGGGGCAAGGTACTCGGGTGTGCCGCAAAACGTTGAAGTTGTTTCACCTTGTTTGACGTCCTCTTTACACAATCCAAAATCAGTTAAAATAATGTGACCTACAAACAAGAATAATAATAAAGATACAAATTACACAAGACCAAAACACGAAGACATACAAAGAAATCAAACATCACAAACATAGCATAAACATTCCATAAAGAGTGATACAAGATAATAAACACATAAGCACTACCATCAGTGTACATAGCAGCTTACATTGTAGAGTGATATTCAGAACCATAAGAGGAATAAATAACATACTCCTACTCACGCAACATGTAGTACATGTAGTACATTCCAAAATAACATGCAAACACACACAGAGAGTTGGATTATCATACATACACTATGAATTACTTAGTAATACTCTATTATAACACATATTCATGTACAATGTGCATGCACATGAATGTAGAAACTTTATACATTACCTTGTTTATCAAGGAGTATATTTTCAGGCTTCAAATCGCGATAGACGATATCCTGTTCGTGAAGATAGCCTAACGCAGACGTAATCTCAGCAGCATAGAATCTAAAAAAAACAAATACAGGAAATAGAAGCAATGCATAAACATATTAAAAATTCAATAGATACTCTCAGCTACCTTGCTCTTGGCTCTTCAAAAACTCTTTCTCTCTGCAAGTGGAAGAAGAGTTCCCCTCCATTCACATAATCCAACACAAAATACAGTTTAGTCCCGGTCTGGAATGAATAATGAAGGCCAACAAGGAATGGATGAGTCACGTTCCTCAAGAGGACGTTCCTTTCTGCCATAATGTGTTTCACCTCGTTCCTCTTCACTATCGCTTTCTTTTGAAGTACTTTAATGGCGTAGTGTTTATTAGTATCAATATGGCGCCCTAGATACACCTGCAAGAGGAAAGGAAGAATGATGCGTTGTGTACATAACAAGGACAAAAAAAGAAAGGAGACGAAACCACCAGAGTGTACCAAAGCAATACATCATGTACAAAACAACACTACAATCATTAAAGACAGGCCATAATAGCTACTGACCTTCCCAAAGCTTCCTTTACCAATGACCTTCAGCAACTTGAAATCAGTGATGGCTGCCGATTCTTTCTCTGACGTACCGAGGTCAAATCGATTAGCAGTCTTGTCTTCGGAACCGGCCTCCTCGTCAAGGCTCTCTCTGTCGTAAATTGGTATGGTACTTCTTTGATCGTCAAGGGATAGGAAGTCCCTAACTGCTTCATCGTCAAATATACTGGGGATCTGATGAGAGAGAGGGAGGGAGAGAGGGAGGAGGGAGAGAGGGGAAGAAAGAAATAGAAAGGAAAAGTAAACAACACGTAATTGATTAAATAATTATTATTTTGATATTTCAATTTCAAAATCACATGTAAATATACAAATAAAAACTAATAGTTGAATATGGCAATTCAATATTGTTAAGAATACTCAATTGTTAAGCTCCACCCATCATTAACACTCACGCACCTTAATGAGGTTGACGATAAAATCGTTGAGACCTTGTCTCCGCTGTTTGATGAAGGCCGGGTCAAAGTTATTGAGAAAGATCCTTTTCCCGGGTAGCTTGAGGTTGGAGTCGGGATATCTCTTCTTTATCTTATCCAGTAATGTGTTGAACTCGTTGTAACGTCTGAAAATGAAATATGACCGATCCTCTAATCTTACTACAACCTAACAGAGTCAGAGAAAGGACAGAGAGGGAAAGAAGCAAGAAAATAATTTATTAAATACAGAAAAGTATCACATGTCTTCCTCATCTCTATGATGTTGTTTGACCCTTCAGTGGACTGACCTTGTACATGGTGAACCGTTTCTCCTCGACCCAAGTCTCATGGTCCTCAACAGCAGCAGTTGTTTGTCCTCTTGGTCTAGCAGGGTCCCCTCCTCCATTGGCAGCAGAAGGATCTAGGGTAGCCATTAGGAAATAGAGAGAAAGAGAGGGAGAGAGAGACTCGGAGGAGCAAATTGCTGTTTGTTTTAGCAAGCACCCAGTGGTAGGGTGGGGTCATGGGCGGGTTCTAAAATGACGTGTTATGCAGTGGTGCACGAGAGTATACGGAAACCACGTGGTCTGTGCGACTCTTTAGTCTTTGCAGGTGTTAGCATCAAGATGTTTCTCCTTGCTTTTGCAGCTCTTTTACTTGGTACGTATGTAGTACCAAATGGAAATCTGTTTTATATCTCAGCTGTAGGTCTAGCCCAGGCACAGTGCCCTCCTAATGTAACTTCTATCTACATACTTAATGATAGAACCATTAATGTA